AGGTGAAGAAGAATCCTAGAGTGTCAGCTAAAGACTTACAAAAGTCACTAGCAAATGATAACATCCCTGTTAGCGAATCTACAATACGTAAAACACTAAACAAGAATGGATTTCATGGGAGGATACCACAGAGGAAGCCACTGCTGTCCAGACAAAACATTGCTGCACGTTTACAGTTTGCACAAGAGCACCTGGATGTTCCACAGCAGTACTGGCAAAATATTCTGTGGACAGATGAAACCAAAGTTGAGTTGTTTGGAAGAAACACACAACAATATGTGTGGCGAAAAAAAGGTACAGCACACCAACAGCAAAACCTCATCCCAACTGTGAAGTATGGTGGTGGGGGCATCATGGTTTGGGGCTGCTTTGCTGTGTCAGGGCCTGGACGGATTGCTATCATTGAAGGAAAAATTAATTCCCAAGTTTATCAACACATTTTTCAGGAGAACTTAATGCCATCTGTCTACCAGCTGAAGCTCAACAGAAGATAGGTGTTGCAACAGGACAATGACCCAAAGCATAGAAGTAAATCAACAACAGAATGGCTTAAACAGAGGAAAATACACCTTCTGAAGTGGCCCAGTCAGAGTCCTGACCTCAACTCGATTGAGATGCTGTGGCATGACCTCAAGAAAGCGATTCACACCAGACATCCCAAGAATATTGCTGAACTGAAACAGTTCTGTAAAGAGGAATGGTCAAGAATTACTCCTGACCGTTGTGCACGTCTGATGTGCAACTACAGGAAACATTTGGTTGAAGTTATTGCTGCCAAAGGAGGTCCAACCAATTATTAAATCCAAGGGTTCACATACTTTTTCCACCTGCACTGTGAATGTTTACATGGTGTGTTCAATAAAAACATGGTCGCATTTCATTCTTTGTGTGTTATTAGTTTAAGCAGACAGTGATTGTCTATTGTTGTGACTTAGATGATGATCAGATCACATTTTATGACCAATTTGTGCAGAAATCCATATCATTCCAAAGGGTTCACATACTTTTTCTTGCAACTGTATCACCGTTACACTGCACACTCAGAAACTTCAGGCACCTAAAAAAACCAAACTAAACACCCCTGATTTGCTAGATACACTGTACTACTCTCAGTATCTTCATACACACAACTATCCATTGAATGCCGAATCTCTAAGAGTGCAATGGGAGGGGATCTGAAAGTACAATAAGTAAAGTTAGAAACAATGCAATACTGTATCTGTTTTCCATATTGTCTTCACTGTTTACGCCTCATCCCCTGAGTGGGAAACCTGTTTATTTTAGAGATATTAATAAAAAAGTCACACACACACAGGCAGACAGTCATACACACACACACAGGCAGACAGTCACACACACACACAGGCAGACAATCACACACACAGGCAGTCGCACAGACTCACACATAGGTAGACAGTCACACACACAGGCAGTCACACAGACACACACACAGGCAGACAGTCATGCACACACAGGCAGTCATATACACACACACACAGTCACATAGGCAGAAAGAGACACACACACACAGGCAGACAGTGACACACACACAGGCAGTCACACAGACACACACACACAGGCAGACAGTCATACACACACACAGACACACACACAGGCAGACAGTCATACACACACAGACAGTCACACTCAGAAGGAGGGGGAGGGGAGAGGAACACTAAGGGTCAGGGAAGGGAGGGGACCACTAAGGGACAGGGAGGGGAGAGGGGCTGGATGTGAAAGAAACACACAGCGGGGCTTGAGAAGGGGAAAATGAGAAACACAGAGGGCCTGGGGTGAAAGAGACACACACAAAGGAGCTAGGAAGAGTAAAAGACACAAAGGGGCTGGGAGAGGAGTCACACAAAGGGGCTAGGAGGAGTAAGAGTCAAACAAAGAGGAGAGATAGGAGACACACAAGGGGAAAATAGGAGATAAAATACACGAAAGGATGTAAGATGTTTAAAAGACGGGATAAGAAACACAAAAGGGAGGTAGGAGCACCGTAACTGTGAGGGAGAGGACATGAAGGTCTGTACTAGCAGCAAGTACAGATAATGCTGTACACCTCTGGACCACCAGGAAACCATTTTTATTTAATATAATGCCGATCTTGCAATGTATAACATAAAAATGTCATGTATGGAGGCAGCAGTATCCCTAAGGTGGTCCCTGGTGTTGTGAGTATACAACTGGAAGTGACGTGAGATCAGCTGCTAACTGATCTTGGGGTATAGAATTCTTCTATAGAATTCGGAATATAAAATTGTGACGGAGTCGCTGCATGCATGCGCGCTGCCTCCAATGTTGTGGAATCAGCTGGTCCTCTAATCTGAAGGTGTACCGTGCAATATCCTCCAGATATAGAAATCTGATAGGTGTCCTGTGCATGCATGCGGCACATCCGTCAGATATAGAAATCTTATGGGTGTATTGCGCATGCGCGTGGTATTTCAATCAGATTTATATACTACAGCTTTCACTGTGTACTAACACAGTGGAAATAGCTAAGATGCAGGATTATGGGGGTGACACACTAGGGATGGGAAGGTTAATGGGGATTACATACTGGGATGGGGGGAATAATGTTGTGACACACAGGGGATGGGGGGTTTATGGTGTGACACACAGGAATAGCGGGTTTAATGATGGTGTTTCCTTGACTGTCACTCCACAACCCCCCATCCCCTGTGCGTCACACCCATTATCCGCCAGCTCCTGTGTCACCCACCCCCATAATGCCCCCATCCCAAGTTTATAACCCCATCCCCTGTGTGTCACAACATTATCACCCCCATCCCCAGTATATAACCCCCATTAACCATTCTATATCTGATAGATGTACCGTGGCGCATGCGCAGTACACCCATCAGATTTCTATATATGAAGGATATGCCGCGCCATTGGCGGTGGTGCTGTCATGCTCACTCACATTTCTGGCTGTGATCCAACACAGGCTACTGTAGCTCCACCCTCTTTTATGACGCGGCACACGCATGCCGACATCATGGCGCTAATTACGTCATCAAGGCGCATATGTGCCGACGTCATGACGCCGATGACGTCACGGCCTGCCAAAATGTCCGGATTCTAACGTTTTGGAGGCGTGGCTTCCAATTTAAAGCGCCAACCTATAAAAGGCTGGCTCACACATAGAACTTTGCTTTGTTGTGGTCCTTTTGTTAGTTCCCAATAGTGCTTTACATCTGTTTTTTCTATTTGGTATTTTGACTTTGGCTATCCTGACTACTCTCCATTCTCCTATTTTGAGTCGGCTCATGTACCTTGACTATCCTAATATCTGGTTTCCTGACTCGGCTTGTATACCTCGTTTTCGTGATTTCTGGCTCAGTGGACCCGGGCTTGTTCTTGACTATTCTCTAACTGTCTAATGTAGAGTTCGGCCACTCTAAGGAACCAGTATACGTTTTTCTATTACATCCTGCGTGTTGGGTCTCATTAGAGTCCTGATAGGCGCGCATGCAATTTCAAATTACATGTGAAGGTGGTCTACAACATACTTGATTTCTTCAACGTATTATATGAAATCAGTTACAGTAACTTGTAATTACTATATAAATACGTCGAATTTCCAAAGGTATATAACATATTAATATATGGGTGACATTTAATTGACAGGACTGGTTTTGTACTGATCGAATGTGGAAAAATCATCCAATCTATGCCAATAAAATGCGCAACAAATTTAAAAAAAAAACAAGCAAATATTTGTTGACTAACCTTGTGTGCTTTCTCATAACCAGTTATATAAGCTTTCTTGAGTAAGAGAATAAAAGGTTATTTGAATGCCACTGACTGTATAGCCAAAAGGTGAGCTAAATGATAGATATACAGGGCTTAAAGGGACACTATAGGCACCATCTTAAGTGGACTGGGTGCAGGGTTCCTGTCACCTTAACCCTGCAGCTGAAATAATTGCAGTGCTACAGAAAGTGCAATGTTTACATTGTTGGGTAAGTCCACCTATAGTTGTATCTACAAGACAGCCACCAGAGACGCTTCATGGATTTTCATTGCCTTTAAATAGGTTTGCTTTGCTTGAGGACGTCCATCGTCTTCAAAATCCTCAAAGGAAAGTAATGATTCAGTGTTATCCTCTGGGGAAGGCCTAATGTTCTCACAGCGCTTTCCACGCATATGTCTTAGGTTCACCCTCCAACTGATGTTAAAGTAAGCAAAGACAGAGTCAGCACCAAGAGACCTTGTTGCTGGAAAAAGTTGAATGAAAAATCTCCTCCCTGGCTGTTTTTGACGTGCAACGCATAATGCCTACACTGTCTGTGCAAGCATCACAGTGGGTATGGCACTACCATAGTCGCAAAATCTGATGGATGAACATCGCTGCCCATTAACCCCCATCTCCTGTGTGTCACCCCCATTAACTTCCTCATCTCCTGTATGTCACCCCCATTAACTACCCCCTATCCCATGTGTATCACCCCCATCCCTGTGTATCACCCCCATTAACTACCCTCTATCCCATGTGTATCACCCCCATTAATCCCCCCATATCACATTTGTATCCCCCATTAACCCAGCATCTCCCTTATTTAACACCATATTAGTGTACACTGTGTATGTTACTACACAGTGAAAGCTGTGGTATAGAAATCTGATAGATGTACTGTGGCGGCTCCACCAAAAATCCATCAGATTGCTATACCCCGAGGCCTGATAGCGCGCATGCGCGCAGCTGATCTTGTGTCCCTTCCGGTGACGTATGTGCTGAAATCTGATAGATATACTTTTCTGATAGAACAGGGGGTTAATAGGGGTGACACACAGGGGAAAGGGGGTTAATGTGGGTTATACACTGGATATGGGGGGGTTAATGGTGTGACACACAGAGGATGGGGGGTTAATGTGGGTTATACACTCGGGATGGGGGTTAATGGGGGTGACACACTAGGGATGGGGAAGTTAATGGGGGTTATATACTGGGGATGGGGGTTAATCGCGGTTATACACTGGATATGGGGGGTTTATGGGAGTGGGTGACACACAGGGGAAGGGGGGTTAATGTGGGTTAAACACTGGGTATGGGGGGTTAATAGTGTAACACACAGGGGATGGGGGTTAATGTGGGTGACACACTGAGGATGGGGGGGTTTATGGGGGTGGGTGACACACAGGGGATAAGGGGAGTTAATGGGGGTTATACATTTGGGGTGTTGATCTCCTGACTGTCACAACTCCACATCCTCTGTCTGTCACCCCATTAAACCCCCAACCCCCCCAATCCCCAGTGTGTCACCCCCTAACACCTGTCACCGCATTAACCCCCCAATCCCCAGTGTGTCACCCCCTAACACCTGTCATCCCGTTATCCCCAATCCCCAGTGTATCACCCCCTTTCCACTGTGTGTCACACCATTAACCCCCCATCCGTAGTGTATAACCCCCATTAACCCACCCATCCCCTGTGTGTCACCCACATTAACCCCCATCCCCTGTGTGTCACCCACCCCATAAACCCCCCATCACCAGTATATAACCCCATTAACATTGCATCTCCCCTATTTCCAGTGTTAGTACACAGTGAAACCTGTTGTATAGAAATCTGATTGATGTACAGCGCGCATGCGCAGTACACCCCTCAGATTTCTATATCAGGAGGGTGTGCCGCGCGGTACACCTTCAGATTAGAGGCCCAGCTGATCGAGCATCAGCTGAGCCTATCAGAATTCTATACCCCGAGATTAGCTAGCGCGCATCAGCGCAGCTGATCTCTCATCACTTCCAGTGACGCGGGTGCACCGGAACTGATGTCCGTAAGAGAAATCTGATAAGTTTACTTATCTGATAGAACACCGGCCCTGCCTGTGGGAGGGGGTGAGACAGAGGTTGATGAACAAGTGTCACACTTAAATGATTGAAGAACATTACATGTGCTCTGGTCGCGAAGAGGACATCTTGGCTGCATGGAGCATAGATGTAGGTCTTGTAGACAAAAAAAAACCATATAGCTACCTTGAACCTCCAGTGGTGACTGAATCCACACGCTAGGGATAGATTTGAACAGAGGGCACAGCTTATTCAAAGCAGTTTATAATGGGCAAAAGTGAAATTAATCAGTTTTGTCCTGAAGGGAGATGAGCAAAGAGAAAGCAAAAGAAGAACCCGTGTTACGATATAGTGAACAGCATTTGTAAGGAAAGGAGGCCATGGCATGTGTATGGGGAAGGGAAAAGTGTTCTACAAGTGGAAACAGAATTATCCTCGCAGACAATAACAAAGCCAACATATTCCACAGGGCTGTTTAAAAGATGGAGAAACCAAAACGGAGGTGCAGCAAGACAAGTTGCATATCTCCCAAGTGTCTTTATTTAGGATTATCTAAGTTACATTTTAGTTGCAAACATTTTTTTATTCGTAAGTCACCTAAAATGTCTTATAATAGCCTTGCCCTGAACCCCCAAAGTAAGTGTCTCCTTTTTTTATTTACAATATTTGGAAGTGTGTGGATGTTTATGAAAAAAGGTGATGAGGGCCCTGGTCACTTGGTTAGTGCAGCACTGCCATGCTGAATTGCTGTTCCCTTCTGGCATGGCAGGGTTGGTATTCACCCTTATATTGAGGCTTGCAGCATCTTGATCATCTATGATTTTGTGCATGTCCTATTTAATAAGACCAAATGCAGGACAAAAAAACTATTAAAATATTAACATGTTGGGGCGTGGCCTGCAGCCGGAGATGAACGGACGCATGTAAGAACAGCTCCGGCAAACAGAGACCGAAAAGAGCCATAAACAAGCGGTACACAGAGCATAAAACACTTACGTCGACTGGAGGAGGTGGGCGACATGTCTCAGAGGCAGAAAAGTAAAGCGGAGAAGTCCGATCGAGCCGCGTTCTTTCTAACTAAAACCGCGGCCTCCAAGCTGAGAGAGGGCCAGGAGCCTGCACAAGATGGCGGCGACCAGGAGAGGCGGGAAAACTCCCCCTCTCGCACATCAGAGGAACAACCCCTGACTATGGGGGGCATCCGAGCGATAATGGAGGAAGTTACAAACACCATCCAAAAAAACATGAAAAAACAGCTTCAGGAGATGAAAACCGAACTACACAGAGAGATGCAGGAGATAGGTAATCGCACCACACTGATAGAAGCAAAACTGGACGAGCATGCTGTGGCCCATAATAGCCTAGCAGATAAGATCCAAGAGCTGGAAAATACTTTGGAGGCACACAGAATAAAATTAGCAGACATGGAAGACAGAGCAAGGAGGAACAACCTCCGGTTCCGTGGAATTCCAGAATCTATACAAAATGCTGATCTCCAAAACTATCTATCTAACCTATTTCAAGCTCTCACCCCTGAAATCCATCCTGACCAATTGATTATCGACAGAGCACATAGACTGCGCAGACCTAAGCACCTTCCACCTACGGCAGCTAGAGATGTGGTGGCACGGATTCACTTCTTCCACGCCAAAGAAAAAATTATGAGAGCCAGCAGAAACACAAACATGCCTGACAACTACAAATCTGTTAAAGTCTTTGCAGATCTGTCGGCCGAAACCTTACACTTAAGGAAGACATTGTCGCCCATCACCACAATCCTCAGAGAGCAGAGCGTGGACTATCGTTGGGGCTATCCAGCTAAGCTCCTGATTTCCCACCAAGATGCGACCCACATGGTTACAGACGTGACCCAAGGCATTCGGAAGCTGAGGGATTGGGGACTACCTCTCCCACCCACTGAACCCACAAAAGCGGCAAAGGTCCCAAGATTGCAGCCGGAATGGTCAACCCAATGAAGCACCAGGGATATACGTAACTATATAACACACACACCTCTACGCCCAAAAAACGCGGACTGGTATAAGATACTTTATAAAGCCAAAAGACATTTTCGTCTTAGAACGCAGTACACATACTACTTAACATAGGCACTACAAGCTCTAGACTCATTAAGTCAGCAGCACATACAGCTGGTTAGAATCTGACTCTGCCTAATACGCAATTTGTACGGTATAGAGGAATAGACTGTGTACAAGATGGTGTTAGCCACAGACGCCTTAGCTGCAAATGCCCATAGGGGCTATGCCGCAGGCGTCATTGAACTGTATTGGTTATTTCAATGTATGTTACGGTATTAATCATTTAACTAGTTTGCATGCATTTAACTGCACACTGCTCTAAGGTCTCTAGGTGAATGACCGACATGTTAAACGGATTCACCTGCACCCCCCCCCACCACCCGCATCTACTGGCTAGATCGCGGACCGAGGCCCCGGTTATGGGAGCCCTACTGGGTACATCACCCATGGACTGTTTTGACCCACCCTTACCCCTCCTGCACCACCCCAAGACATACAAAACAAAAACACGGTACACCTCCAACGGGAACATTCCCATAAGCATTACTGGCAATGGGCATACAACTAAAACCCCAGGGCACTATTCCACACAGATGAGACACGACCTAGCATATCGTTTTCCAGAGACACCATTGACCCAATATGAAAATCTTGACTTATAATGTAAAGGGGTTGAACACCCCAGGTAAAAGACGCCTCTTGCTACAAGAGCTTAAGACGAAAAGAATTGATATTGCCTGTATCCAGGAGACACATTTAAAAAACACTAAGACCCCCGAATTATTTACTAAACACTTTCCATCTCAATACCATGCGGTCTCGGCGAATAAGACCAAAGGGACGTCCATTCTCATCCACAAAGATGTGGCATTTATAGAGCAGGGAAAACTGGTAGACCCACAGGGTAGGTTTATCATTCTGACAGGCCTCTTCAATAACGCTCAGTACACCCTGGTCTCGACATACTTCCCCAACACGGGAGCAGAGGTATTTCTCCGCCGCCTTATGCAGAAAATTGAACAACACAAGCTAGGGGGGTTAATCCTTTGTGGAGACTTTAATTTTATTACGTCTCCTGAGGAAGATACAACAGCAGTACCCCAGGGTGTGAGGAGAAGACAAATGGTATCCACATGCAAACAGCTGAACGCAAAACTTACACTACACAACTTATACGATAGCTGGAGAGTTCTCCACACTGGGGAGAGGGACTACACGTTCCACTCGAGAGTACATAACACCTACACCCGGATCGACACTTTCTATGTAGACCAACAAACACTAGCACAAGTTTCGACCTGCAGTATTGGTGATATAACCTGGTCGGACCATAGTCCCGTATACCTGGAGCTGTTTGACTCCTTCCAATTTAAGGGGAGGGGGACTTGGCGGTTAAATGAGTCGCTGTTAAGCGACAGCACATTCCTACAACAGGTGAAGACAGACCTGGAAGAATATTTCCAGGCAAACTCTGGGGGAGACGTACCCGACCAAACCGTGTGGCTCGCACACAAAGCTGTGGCGCGGGGTCTCTTTATTAGACGCTCCTCATATCTCAAGAAGAGTAGGCAAAAAACCCAACTAGAATGCCAGAAGCTACTGGCGGTAGCGACGACCCAGAACAAATTAAACCCATCCCCGGCTCTGGCCAAACAGGTGCAAACCTTAACTAGTCAATTAACAGAACTGAACGCAGCAAAAACCGCCTATTTTTTACAAAGGTTGAGGGCAACATCCTATCATCATAGCGGAAAAGCCACAAAATATCTAGCCAACCGCCTAAAGGCGAGACTGGCAACGTCCAAGATAGCCCACCTGCACACCGCAGCGGGTAAAAAAATACAAAACCCCATGGAGATAACACAAGAGTTCGCAAATTACTATGCAGGCCTTTACAATCTGGGGGACCAGCCGGGCATGGCCCCCTTAGATGACAATTTGATTTGCTCCTATTTGACAGGGCTCCCCCTCCCGAGGCTAGACCAGACCCAACTCTCCGCACTACTGGAACCAATCACCGTAGAAGAAGTTCTAGACACCATCAAACAGCTGCCCGCCGGAAAATCTCCGGGAGCAGATGGTCTGTCCAATCTGTACTACAAAACTTTTGCGGACACACTTGGCCCGTGGCTGGTGCGGACGTTCCGGACGGCGACGGACACGGGCCAACTCCCCACCGAGATGCTCCTAGCCACAATAGTAACCTTGCCCAAACCCGGGAAACCCCCAGACCAATGTAAAAATTTTAGACCCATCTCATTGTTAAATTCAGATGCTAAGATCTATGCTAAAATATTAGCTACTAGAATGAGTAAAATCCTTCCGACACTGATTCACGATGATCAAACGGGGTTCGTGTTGGGGAGACAGGGGACGGACAACACCAGAAAGCTATCCCTGGTGTTGGAGAAGATGCGGGGGGCCGGCCCGGGGGGTCTACTACTGGCCTTAGATGCTGAGAAAGCCTTCGACCGCCTGGGCTGGCCCTTCCTCCGCCGGGTACTAGAACGGTTCGGATTTCCGCATCAATTCATTACCCAGATATTTGCCTTGTATTCACACCCCTCAGCCCAAGTCCTGCAGGCTGGGTTTTTGTCCGCACCCTTCAAAATTACGAACGGCACGAGACAGGGGTGTCCCTTTTCACCCCTGCTCTACGTGTTAGCTTTAGAGCCGTTACTTGCAGCGATTCTAATGCACCAAGCAATAGACGGGGTAGATTGGCATGGGCGGACAATAAAAATTAGCGCATTTGCGGACGACATCTTGCTATATGTCACAAACCCTGACAAATCCCTACCTAATATAATGAAGCTCATCACAGAATACGGGGCGATGTCCTATTACTCTCTAAATGCCACCAAAACACAAGCATTGGGTCTTCGCCTGGACCCACAAGTCTTGACACGACTGCGAAGAGAATTCCCATTTGAATGGAGAACTGGAAATATAAAATACCTGGGCCTAACATTTACTAAAAATCCGAACGATATGTTTCCTTCTAACTATAATGGGGTCTGGAAAGAATGTTCTGAAATCTTGAAGGGCTGGGGACACCTTTTCTTGTCTTGGGCGGAGCGCATAATAGCACTTAAAATGACCATATTGCCAAAACTCCAATACCTATTTAGAAACCTCCCATGGAGAGCACCGAATGCATATTTCAAAAATATACAAGCTAAGATGTTACAATTCACCTGGGGCACGGGACGGGCGAGAATCTCTCAAAAAATATTAATGGCCCCCGCGAGCAAAGGCGCGCATGTTCCCACATGTTAAAACATATCACCAAGCTGCGATCCTGACATCGCTGCTAGCACACCTTACCACGAAGGGCCAACCTCAGTGGGTACGAATGGAAAACCAAGCTATAGCCCCCCTTCGAGTCACTAACCTCATGTGGCTACGGAAAACCACTAGACCAACTACCCCGACCATACCCACACAACTTAGCTTAGCACTAAGTACCTGGGACATATACAGACCGGGCTTTGAATCGCAATGTCCACTATCTTTAGCAACCCCTACCGAGGCACTAACGTATTGTATCCCCACGTTCCACGCAGCACCATGGAAAGAAAGGGGAGCCACTCACCTGGCACACATATACAAAGCGGGCAAACTGTTGCCCTTTTCAGAAATATGCCGCCTATACAAAATGCCACCCACGTCCCAATATTCCTACATCCAACTAAAATCCTTTTTACACAAGCACAACAAAGAACAGACACAGAGACAAGACAGGTGTGGAGAACTCTCGACCTGGGAAAAAATAGGGATTACAGGGATACCCCCACCTAAATTTAAACCGCTATCTGAATGTTACAAAAGCATCCAACCATACCAGCCGTTTCATAGCTCCACCCAGGCACAGCACTGGTCGGCGGACCTGAACGTTACTATACCAGAGCACAAATGGAAACACATAGTAACATCTGTAAGGAAATTGGTGAAATCGGCCCCTCTTATTGAACAACACCAAAAAACGATCTATAGGTGGTATATGGTGCCTACCCGCCTGCACAGGTTGTACCCCCACACGCGCCCGACTTGCTGGAGATGTGCGGGAGACCTGGGCTCAGTCCTACATATTTGGTGGAAATGCCCGAAACTGGAGAGGTACTGGAAAGAGGTACGACAACTTATAACCCACACTACTAAAACCGATATTACCTTAGAGCCCTTGACATTTCTCCTATTGGACATTCCCTCTGACTTGCCTGTGGCAACAAAGAAATTAATATATCATATACTACTGACAGCACAGAGGGTAATAGCGAGATCCTGGAAATCTACCACACCCCCAAGCGTCTCCCATATTATACAAGACATAGACAAACAACTAATTTACGAAACGCAATACTCTACCGCACGCTCGGGACCGCAGCGTTGCGGGGGAACATGGGAGATGTGGAGCTCCTGGAAACAAGATACCATGGGCCCACCTGGTGCCACAACACCACTAAGATAGCATAGAGGCCCCATATGAGAAGCTCGCAGACATGGGGGACAGTATACACATAGCCCACTTGGTGGACTTATTAGGAAAAGCCGCAAAGTAGGGAACCGTGGCGGGAAGGGGCATTAGGTAGAGACAGGATAAGACATAAGGGGTCTACAGGAGGACTGCAGGAAACACTGAGATAGGTTGCCGAAAATGCTAGGGATGATCACAGTCAATGGATGTGTGAACGTATTATAATCCTCAGCCCACTGGGGACTAGCACCAAGTGTGACCCTAAACCACTAATAAATGCCTAATATATGCCTACCAAAATGGTTTGTAAAGTTATGCTGGGAATGTAATACGAACCTGTAATGTAACTGTGTGTCGAATTCTGTACCCTACTCCCCCCCCCCCCACCAATATGACATGTTGAAATTTAATAAAACTTCAAGTTTCAAAAAAAAAAAAATATTAACATGTTTATTGTACTCAAATTTGAAAATAGAATGAAAGCATATAATAGATACCGCCAAGACAGAACAGTACAAATGCCAGTGTCCACCCACCTGTCCTGCACTATTACATTGTGCTTGGTTTTATTGTAGGCAGCGAAGGCTCGTCCATAGGGGCACTTGAGCAGCATCCCAACAGTTTTTAAGTGGGGAAGTTTTGTTTTGCGGTAATTTAAAAACACTAAGATTCTTTTTCTGGAGGGCAGGGTGGTAAGCCAAAAAATATGTGAAAGAATTAGTGTCTCTTTAATTCTATAATAGGTTTTCAGTTCTTCAGTTCTGCAGGGCTCCTCAGTGGTAGCTGTGGCAGAACCAGCCTTGCCACTGGGCATTGGAAAAGACTGTTTGCCAGCCTCGTGCCCTGCGACTGTGGCCCTGAGATGTATTGCCCTTCTAGGAACTGATTTGGGCATAATAGATTTTTATTATGCTGCTGGCCCTTTAAGAACCATCTGGGGACATACTGTGGAGTTACTTTGTGGCCACCATTTCATGTATCAGAGGCACATGGTGAGAACAATGGATGAAGCACATGGTGAGAACAATGGATGGGGGCCATTTTAACTCACAGACACTGTTTGGACTTTTCTACACGGTGCCATCTCGCCAGTATTTGGTGCACAAAGACATCGTGCAGTAGTTTTAAACTATACAACAGGGGACACATTATACAGTAAATATTTTTCATATAGCCTGTATATGTTCTGCGGAATCTGCATTAAACTGTATCTTCCAAACTACTGAACGGATCTGGGTGAATTTTGGATATCTGGTTCACCCAGATCCCCCGGTTCCGAGGATATACTTATACTTATACATATTTTTATGGGGTTATTGCATGTTTTGGGGTCCCTGTGATATGTTTTATAATACTGTATTTCTCTGCCTGTGATAATTATATTAACCATAATCATATCACAGGCAGAGGGGAGGATTTTGTGTGGGAGTGTCTGTGTGTATTGTACGGATTGATTGATTGTATTTCAAAACCCTGTGGGCAGTACTAGGTTTGTGGATTGTGAATAAAAGAGGCTGTATGTGCCAGTACAGTCAGTTCTGCTTGACCTCAAAACGAAGTGTCGTCTCGTTATTGGGGGAATTGGATTGTATGCTGATTGCCAGGAGTGTAAGCTGATTGTATGCTTTTCCTGTTTAGCTGCTTACAGCATTCATATGCTTGAGAGCATTCGTATGCTTCTCCGGTTCAGTGGTTGTGGTGTCTGCTGCAGTGCTTGGAGTCCTCAGGAAGCGCGAGGAGCATCCTTCAACGGAGGTACCCAGTTGGGGTGCTAGGTGATCCGTTACAGTAGCTTTTTGGAGAAGTTTACTTGAAAGCATCAAAGCATGTAAAAAATAAATAAAAATAAATAAATAAAAAACAGGGCTTGTTTGAAATCTGCCCTGTTTCAGCAGGTTTTGCACACGCTTGGTGTCCTTTTAGAAGGAATTTCAGGAGTTTTTACTGAGATGCATTCGGACAGCAGAGCCAACTGCTAATTAATGGAGGCATGCTGCTGTCTTCTCTATTCAGGGGCCATCATTGGCTCATAGCATCGTGGGGTTACAGTGCCCACAGGAGAGAGAAGCAAGCAAAGAAGAGCATCAACAGCACCAGGCCCTTGTCAAATGTATGTGTATAATATATTTTTCTCTCCCCCAATAGCCCCCGTGACTGCCTGAGGGCTGATTAAGCAATATAATTTACTCAAATATATAATTAATATATATAAAACCAGGGAAGAGGAGCGGGACATTTCTGACACAGAGCACTGTGCTGCCTGTCACTAATAACTTACTAAACACACCATCATGCTCAGTCACTCACCTGAGACACTCATGCTGTGACTAGTTGAAAAGTTGTAAAGCTTCAAACTGC